CTCTTCACCATCCATACTGATGTTGCCAATCTGCCCAGTGGTGAGAATCTTTGTTTTCTTGATATTGAGCTTCAATTCAAGCGCTTCAGGTCCTCCTCAGTTTCAGCAAGCAGGGTTGTGTCATCTGCATAACGCAGGTTGTTGATGATTCTTCCACCAATCCTGATGCCACATTCCTCCTCATACAGCACAGCATCTCGGATGATCTGTTCTGCATACAGATTGAAAAGGGATGGAGACAAAATACATCCCTGGTGGACCCCCTTCTTGATTTTGAACCATGTAGTGTCTCCTTCCTCTATTCTGACGACTGCCTCCTGGTCCAAGTATAGGTTTTGCATTAGCACAATCAAATGTTCTGGGATTCCCATTCTTCTCAGAGTCAGCCACAGCTTGTTGTGATCCACACAGTCAAAAGCCTTTGCATAGTCAATAAAACACAGATAGACATTCTTCTGGTATTCTCTATTCTCTGCTTTCTGCCAAGATACATCTAACATTAGCTACAATATCCCTAGTACCACAATCTCTTCTAAATCCAGCCTGCACATCTGGCAGTTCTCTGTTGACATATTGTTCCAAATGTTTTTTTTAAAATTTTCAGCAGCATCTTGCTTGCATGTGATATTAATGATATTGTTTGATAATTTCCACACTCTGTTGGGTCACCTTTCTTTGGAATGGGAACAAATATCGATCTTTTCCAGTCAGTTGGCCAGCTGGCTGTTCTCCAGATTTCTTGGCACAAATTGGTGACCTTATTAGTGTTGTACTGTGAATATTGTGGATGGGGATAGTGACCCTTGTGGAGTTAATAGAGCTCAGAAGTGGTCATTCTCATGCTGCCTACACTCTTGGTACAATATATATATATATATATCACATTGTGCTGTGCCTTGTTGTCTTTCTTTATGTCTCTTATCCTTCCCTTCAGGGAGGGGAACAAAGTAAAGACACCAAGCAAAACTGTAAATTCAATTTTATCAAGTATCTGCTGAACATCTAAATGTTCTTGGTTCTACTATAACCACTCCTTCATATACAATATTCACAACAAATACATAGAGTAGATATAGTCTTCCATTACACAGATGAAGGAACTGAAGCTCAAGAAGGTTAAGAGATTTGCCCAGTGTTGCTCAGTTCATTAATGGTATAACTAAGATTTGAACCCCAGTCTACTAACCCCAGGTTCAATCAATCTTTTCACCAACTTACATACACACTATAGGGGCTGATACTCTAAGAGTAATCCACTGTGGGAAGTTTTTGCTTGAGGAAGTCGCTGGAGAGTGCTCTTGTGATAGATAGTCATGCTTGATATGATGAGAGCCAGGCTGTCATGTTTATTATTGCCCTTTATTGTGGCTGTACTGGAATTGGTCATTGTCCACCAGGGTCAAGTTGTTGTTGCAGCTGTGAGGTGTTGTAGAGTCAGTTCCAACTCATAGCAACCATATGTCCACTGAAGCTCTGTGCTACCCTCACCATCTCTGCTGTGCTGGGGTGCATTGTTACAGCCATTGTGTAAATCCATCATGCAGAGGATCTTCTTCTTTTTTTACTGAGTCTCTATTTTATGAAACTGGACATCCTTCTCCAGGGCCTTGTCTGTCCTTATGACATGCCCAAAGTATGTGAGATGAAGCCTTGGTATCCTCACTCCTAAGGAGAATTCTGGCTGCATCAGGAGCAAGAGTGTTTTATTCGATTACTTCCTATGGTTAGTTAGTCAAGACTTTTATATCAACACTTCAATTCACCATAAACATTACTTCCGACAAAATGCTTCAATATTCTACAAAAATTTCATACCCTAATTGTCGCTGTCTGTTTGCCGGCAACCTACAGCAACACCCTGATGGAGTTAAGCATGACAGAGATACACCACTCCAGGAGAGGATCAGAGAGGCAATCCAGCTCAATTTTATTGGGATCTGCAGTACACTTATAAACAGAAAGACAGGATAGGGTGGGCTTACAGATATGGGACATGCGGACTGGTTAGGAGAACCTCAGCCTCGTGTGGAACAAACACTCCCAACTCAACAGACGTGGCAGCCGTCTTCCCAGGTGGTGAGCTTTCTCAAGCCAGTACAGTCAAACACAGGGGAGCTTTCTCTACCCCGTATTAAAGGCCACTGGGAGGCTTGAACTTATCTGGAGCTTAGGCGATCTGTCCTTGCCAGAGACACTCACTTCCTCCCAACATTCTGCAACACCTAATGAGGTTGATGGTTATCATTTTTATTTTGCAATTTGAGATAGGTCCAGGTGGCTCTGTGATTTTTATCTAAAACACAAAATGGGATCAGTGAATGAAACTTGTAGGAGTAACTAAGACTCCACCATTATAGATTGAATTGTGTGTCCCCAATATACAAGCTTCAAATTCCAACCTTTATGTCTAGGGTTATAATCCCATTTTGGAATGAGTTGTCTTTCTTACATTAACAAGACAGGCCTAGGGTAAGGATTTCTTGAGTCAATCTCTTTGAGTTATAAAAGAATTTAAATAGGCCAGCAGAGAAAGATGCCAAGTCACATGAAGATCACCCAGAAACATAAACTCAAAAAAGAGAAGGACCTTCCTCGAGTGCCAACACAGAGAGAGGCTTCCCTTTGAATTCAGACTTCTAGTTTCCTAAACGATGATAAAATAAATTTTTGTTGGTTAAAGTCCACACAGTTGTGGTATATTCATTATAGAAGCACTAAGCAAACAGAATTTGGTACAGAAAGAGAAGGGAGCTGCTCTAACATATACATAAAATGTGGAAGTGTTTTTGGGATTGGGTAATGAGTAGAGACCAGAGACTTTTAAGGTAGAAAATAATAAAAGCCCATATTTTTGTTTAAAGAGGCTATTGGGGAAATTATCAATGTCATGGCTATTCTGGTGAGGGCTTAGAAGGAACTGTGAGAACTATACAGAAAATCTCTTTTTTATTAATAACATAAAGTCTCTTTTTATTACCGCTTGAATGAAAGTTGCAAAGCAAATTCATTTTTCATTTAACTACTCACACATATTTTATTGTATTATATTCATTTTTATATCCACAAAAGAATTGCCCTTTCCTACTTCATCCCTATAATTGCAATTTCCATTATTTTTCTATACTTCTCTGTGTCTTCCCTTTCTGTAGCGATTGTGTGCTGACAATCTGTAACCCTTATTGGATATTACTTTTCTATTCATTTATCTTAATATGTGCATATTACTATATGCATATTTACTATTTTTTTACTCCCATTTATCTCCTTTCCCATCCTTGTTCAACATTCAATGATTCTAGGTATAAACCTTGCTTTTTCATATTAATTTTGTTGTTGTTGTTGTGTATCATTGAGTTGACTATAACTCATACTGACCCTATGAACAATAGTTCTGAACCCTGCCCTATCTTAAGCCAGTCTCAAGTCTCTGACGCACCTGCCCCCATTGCCATAGTCATTGTGTCAATCCTTGTCATCTAAGGTCTTTCTCTTCTGCACTGACCCTCTATCCTTCCAAGCATGATGTTCTTATCCAAGGATTGGTCCCTCCTGGCAACATGTCCAAGGTATGTGAGATGGAGTTTCAAAATCCTTGCCTCCCAGGAGCAATCAAGGATAGACTTGTCTGTTTGCTTGGTAGTCCATGTTAGGTTCAATTCTCTCCTTCAGCACCACAACTCAAAGGCACTAACTCTTCTTCTGTCATCTTATCCATTATCCAGCTCTCAGATGCATTGCAAGTAATTGAGAAGACTATAGCTTGGATCAGGCAAGCTTTAGTCCCTGGACTGGAATTGTTTCTCTTTAGCCCTTTGTAGAGGTCTTAGAAAGCAGACTTTCCCAAAGCAACTCATCTTTTGATTTGTTGATCACGGCCCCGAACAAGATGAAATTATTATCACCTTCTCCATTTATCATGATACTGCCAATTGGACCATTAGTGAGAATCTTGGTTTTCTTGATGGTAAGATACAATCCATATTGAAGACTGAAGTCCTTGATCTTCTACAGTAAATGCTTGTTGTTATTAGGTGTCAAATATGACTCATAGCAATCCTATGAGTAGTCAGCTTCAGTTGCCCCATTCTGCATCCTTCTCATAATCTCTGACACTCTAGAGCCCATTGCTGAAGTCACCATGTCAAATCATCTCCTTGGGACTCTTCCTTTCCTTTGCTGACCCTCCTTCTTTTCAAGTATGATGTCCTTTTCCAAGGAATAGCCTCACCTAGCTACATGTCCAAAGTATGAAAAACGAAGCTTCATCTAATCTTACTTCCAAGGAACACTCTGACTCCACCTTCTCTAAGACATATGTGTTTCTTCTTTTGGCAATCCATGGCATATTCAGTACTCTTCTCCAGTACCATAACTAAAAGGCATCAATTCTTCTGCCATTCTTTGTATTATATGGTATTTTCCCCTTTGTAACTGGCTTCTTTTACTTAGCATAATGTCCACTAGCTCTATTCATGTTATCTGTTGTTTAAAGAAATCTGTCTTGTTTTTCAGTGTTGCCTAGTATTCCACTGAGTACCACAGAGTCTTTATCTATCTATTTTTCCATTGTTAGGCACTTGAGTTGCTTCTATATTTTTTTCTATTGTAAAGTATAATTCATGAATATCAGTATCCATGTATCTGTTCATATTCCAGCTCTTATTTATACAGAAATTCTCTTATCATCTTAAAGAATACAAGCAACACCAGCAACAGAAAGATATTAGAAAGGTGAACATTAAACACACGTCTAGAGAAGTAGAAAAGTATGATCATGTGATTGGGTAATGAAGGAAGGGCAATGCTTTTTATGCAATGGCAAAAAAATAGCTACATCTATTGCCGTCCAGAAAAAGAAATGGATTATCCCTACAGGTGCTCCAGATTAGTAGAACGATTGAAAAGAGCATGGGAGGCAAGTACATCTCAGTCTCATAGGGTAAAGTAGTGATCTCCTGGATCTCAAATAATTGTACCAGAACCTCCTAGATTTCCAAAAGTCAGATTTTTACTCGCTTGACTCCAGTGTATGTGCTGTCATCATGGTATGCCAGAGCAATGGAGCTGCCACTTAAAGCTGAGGGGTCAGGGCTGCTATCATATCCAACAGGCAGAAAAGCTGGATCTGCCAGGCCAAGGGGATGAGGTTACTGTTTAAATGAATTTTGAGATTGGGGTGCCCAAACTTGGAAGGTGGAGCTGATACTCAGGGCTGACTGACCTCCATCCAGAATCCTGAGGTATAGATAACATCCAGAGTCTGGAGACCAGGACTAAGATGGTGTCAGAGAATAGAGATTGCTTTCAAGCTTTGAGAGCTAATGTAAACTGCTCTGCTGGGTCTTGGACTTTTTCATGTCTTTTAACCTTTGTTCTCTCCAACGTCTCCCATTTGCAAAGGAAATGTCTACTTTGGGTCTAAGTACTGTCAAGTCAACTCACAGAGACCCTATGAACTACAGATCTGAATTCTGTCATATCCTGTGCCATTTTTATCATCTTTGACACATTTGAGTCCATTGCCACAGACAGTATATCAATCTTGTTGATGGCTTCTTTCCTTTGCTAACTTTCCATCTTTCCAAACATGGTGCCCCTTTCTATGGAATAGCCTTTCCTAACAACATGTCCAAAATATGTGAGATGAAGCTTCACCATCTTTATCTCCAGTGTCACTGTGGCTGCACTTTCTGCAAGATAAATGTTTGTTCTTTTGGCAGTCCATGTGATAATGGATGCATATGAACTATGGTGTTGAAGAAGAGTTCTAGCATATCCCATTTTACTTTCCCCCCTATTATTTATTCATTGTTGCACATTTTATCTCCCCTCCTGCAGACCCCCATTGTAATTCAGCCCTTGTTCCAGATTATTCTCATACATATAATACATAATCATATATTCCTTTTGGACAGTTCTTCCCCTCATCTCTTCTAATGCAGTGTTCATTATCTATCCACTCTTTCCCCATTCCCTCCCCAGCCACCCCATGTCTGTCCTATTTTATAACAGTGATATTATGCAGAATTTGTCCTTTTCTGACTGAGCTATTTCACTTAGCATTATGTTGTCTAGGCTCTCCCATGTTGTGTAATGTTTTACCATTTCATTGTTCTTCAATGCTGCATACTATTCCATTGTGTACATTTATCATAGTTTTTCTTGTGGTTGTATCATAGTTTTTCTATCCACTTGTTGATGGGCCCCATCATACTTTAGAAACAGATAATTTATATTACTGATTTCACAGGTGAAGAGGAATTTTCCCCCAAGATGGAATAAGCCTAAAATCTTACCTGTATCTGATTTAGATGGTTCAGAAGATGAGATTTTGGACTTGAAGTAGATTTTTATAACTTGAGGGATGGTGAGAGTGAGGACATTTTACATGTAGAAAAACATGAATATGGGAGGAGGGAAAAGGGTAGAACATTGTGGATTAAATTTTATCCCCATTAATATGTGTTAAAAACCCTAATCTCTCTGCCTATGGCTTTAATTGCATATGGGAATGTGCTATCTTCATTATGCTGGTAAGATAGAACCAGTGTAGAATGTCTTGAGTCAATCTATTTTGAGATGTAAAAGATATTAAACGAGTAAGCAGAAGTAAGGAAGAGAGATGCCAAGTCATATGAAAAGTGCCTAGAAATAGAAGCTCCAAGAGATGACTTTCCTCCAGAGACCACAGAGAGAGAGGAAGTCTTCTCCTACAGTTAATATCCTGAAGTTGGACTTCTGGCCTCTTACACTGTCAGAAAATAAATTTAGAACCTCTCCTCTCACTTTTTGGTATGTTTGTTATAGAAGGACTAGTTAGCTGAGACAGCCATGCTCACCCATCTGCCACAGCAGAAGTTTCCCATCCACCCATGCTGGAAGTCAGTCTTTAAGACTCCTCAGGATAGGCACTAGCATCTTGGTGCTTTCTCCTAGGGGTTGTTGTGATCTCATGCCTGACAGGGGCCTAAGAGTTGAAGCACTTGTGAATGCAATGATAACCAGACTGTTCATTCCCTCTCTAAAAGGACTAAGCAAATGAGAGTGCCAGTTCCTCTCTTCAAAAATTGGTGCTAGTAAAACTGGACTGCTACCTGTAGAAAATTGAAGCAGGATCCACATCTCATATCATACACAAAAATCAACTAAACGTGAATCAGAGACCAAGGAGTAAAGTCCAAGACCATAAAGATTATGAGAGACAAAATGGGACCAAACTTGGAAGGCCCAGCCTAAGGTACAAATAGGCTGGTAAATACAGTCAGAAACGGACAACCAGGAAAGAATCAAACCAATGAATGAGACCTAATGATTAAGTCTTTGGGTGCATAAAAACCTTTCAATCCAGTTGTTGTTGTATACTATTGATTCAGAACCAACTCATAACTGACCCTTCAGTGGGTTTTCAGAAGCAGTTAATCACATGGGAGGCGATTGTCCATCCTTCTCCCACAGAGCAGCTGGTGGATTAGAACCAAGTGTCTTCAGGATTGCAGTGCAGTTTCTTACCACTAGGCCATCAGAGCTCTGACAGAAAAAACACTTAATAATGTTATCTCAGACAAGGGGCTCAAAATAAAAGTTTTACCAAATACTACAGGACTTCCACAAGAAAAAGACTGATAACCTAATTACAAAATGGATGAAAGACCTGGAAAGACTTTTCCCAGAGGAAGGCATTCAGAGGGCAAACAGACACATGAAGAAATGCTCAAAATCACTGGCAATAAGAGAGATACAAATCAAAATCATGAGATACGATCTCACTCCAGGAGTAGTGGCAAAGTTTAACAGAAAAGCAATTAATAATTATTCGAGGGATTTAAACTCTCATATACTGCTGGTGGGATTGTAAAATGGTACAAACATTCTGGAAGGTAGTTTGGCATTTTCTCAAAAAGCTGAATAGAGAAATTCTATATGACTCAGATAGTGCACTGCTAGGAATATACCCTGAGGAAAAAAGAACTAAGACACAAAGAGATTTGTACATTGATGTGCATAGCTACATTATTCACAATATCAAGAACATAGAAACAGCCCAAAAGTCCATAAAAAACAAATGGATTGAGAAACTGTGGTATACTCACATGACAGAATACTATTCAGCATTTAGGAGCAACAATTTAAAAAAATACATATAAACTATGAGAGGCTAGAGAGCATTATGCTCGGTGAAATAATTCAGTCTTACAAGGACAAATATTATGTAAGACCATTTTAACTAGTTTATTTACAAAATTCAAATACATTATTTCCAAGTAAATTATTTCAATTTCCCTGACCCCTCCCATCAAATGGTACAATGCCATGATTAATCCCCCATCCCCCTGCACATCCTCATCCCTCTGCTTCCAACCTCTCCCACACCTTTTGGATTCTTATACTCATTCTACAAAAATGGTTTTATACAGTAGTTATCCTTGTGGAACAGAATTAGTTCACTTGGCATAATTCTCTCCAGTCCCTCCCAAGTAAGGTAAAAATCATTGTTCCTGCATGTGCATAGTATTCCATTGTGTGAATGTACCATAATTCTCAATCCATTCATTTTTGATTGGACATTTAGACTATTTCCATGTTCTTGCAATGGTTAATAATACTGCTATGAACATGGGTGCTCAAATTTTTGTTTGGTGTGCAAGTCTCCATTTGTGCCTCAGTTCTTATTTTCTCAGGGTATATTCCAAGTAGTGGAATAGCTGGGTCCTATGGAATTTCCATGTTCTGCTTTCTGAGAAAGTGCCAAACTGCTTTCCAAAATGGTTGCACCATTTTATAATCCCACCAACAATGTATGAGTTCCTTTCTCACCACATCCTCTCCAACATTTATTACTTGCTGCCCTGTGAAACTGCCACTGTTACTACTGTGAGATGGTATATCATTGTGGTTTTGATTTGCATCTCTCTTACTGCCAGTGATTTGGAGCATTTCTTCATGTGTCTGTTTGCCATTCAAATATCTTCCTCTGTGAAAATTCTTTCCATGTCTTTTGCCCATTGTGTAATTAGATTATCAGTCTTTTTCTCTTAGAGGCCCAGGAACATTCTGTAAACTTTTGTTATAACCCTCTTGTCTGAGATGGTATTATCAAATGTTTGTTCCCAGCCAGTGGGTTTTCTTTTCACCCTGTTGGAAAAAGGTTTTGATGCCCACATGGATTTAATCTTTAAAAGGTCCCATGCATCAATTTTATCCTCTTCACATTGTGCATTTCTGGTTTTATTTGGTAGTCTCTTTATGCATTGGACTAGTGCTTCTAAGCTTGATCCCAGTTTGTCTCTTATGAACATTATGGTTTTGGGCTTTACTCTCAGGTGTCTGATCCACCTTGGATTTTTGTGTATGGTGTGAGATGTGGATCCTATTACAGCTTTCTGCAGATGGAAGTTCAGTTTTGTCAGCACCATTTGTAGAAGAGGTTATCATTTCAATTTTCTTGTCGAATATCAGTTGACCATAGATTGTTGTTGTTGTTGTTGTTATGTGCCATCGAGCGGCCTGCGACTCATAGTGACACTATGTACAACAACCCTAAACCCTGTTCCATCCCTTGCCAATCTTATTGTCTCCAACACATCTATCCCCATTACCCCAGTCACTGAATTAACCCATCTCATCGAGGGTCTTCCTCTCCTGCGCTGTCCCTCCACCCTCGCAAGCATAACATCCTTCCCTGAGGACTGATCCTGCCTCGCAACATGTCTAAAGTCTGTCAGATGAAGCCCCAGAACCCTTGTCTCCAAGGAGCAGCTTGGCTTCACCCTCTCCAGGATGAACCTGTTTGTTCTAGCAGTCCATAGTATATCCAATACTCTTCTCCAGCACCACAGCTCAAAGGCATCAACTCTCCTTCTATCATCCCTAGTCATTGTCCAGCTCTCTGATGCATAGCAAGTAATTGCAAAGAATATGGCCTTTATCAGGCACACCTTAGTCTTCAGACTAACATTGTTGCTCTTCAGTACTTTGGAGAGGTTCCCGATAGCAGACTTTCCCAGTGCAATGAATCTTTTCATTTCCTGGCTGCTGGTACCAAGAGGTTTATTGTAGAGCCAAGCAGACTAAAACTGTCAATAATCTCAATGTCTTTACATCTATCATGATGTTGCCAATTAGCCC